TTGGAGTTGGTTGTCATTGTTCACGCATTGAAGATTTAGAGGCATTACTTGTATAGTGTGTCTTGTGAGGTGTTTACTGATTATCATAGTCTCCAGCACTTGTTCAAGCAGAAGGATCTTAATTTGAGGTAGTGGAGGTGGTTGGAGTTGCTAAAGGATTATGATATTGCTATATTGTACCATTCGGGGAAGGCCAATGTGGTGGTCGATATTTTGAGCTGAAAGGCGGTGAGTATGGGGAGTTTGACATATATTCGAGTTGGGGAGAGACCTCTTGCAGTTGATGATTAGGACTTGGACAATCAGTTCGTGAGGTTAGATATTTCGGAGCCCAGTCAGGTATTGGCTTGTGTGGTGTCACAGTCTTCCTTATATGATTGCATCAGAGAGCGATCCGCATTTGCTTGTCCTTAAGGACAGAGTTCAGCATGATGATGCCAGAGATGTGACTATTGGTGATGATGGGGTGTTGAGGATACAGGGCCGGATATGTGTGCCCAATGTGAATGGGCTTCGGGAGTTGATTCTGGAGGAGGCCCATAGCTCGTGGTATTCCATTCATACGGGTGCCGTGAAGATGTATCAGGATTTGAGGCAACATTATTGGTAGAGGAGAATGAAGAAAGTCTTTGTGGGATTTGTAGCTCGATATCTCAATTGTCAGCAGGTGTAATATGAGCATAAGAGCCCGGGTGGCTTGCTTCAGTGAATGGATATTCCAGAGTGGAAGTGGGAGCGGATCACTATGGACTTTGTAGTTGGATTTCCACGGACTTTGAAAAAGTTCGATGTTATTTGGGTGATTGTGGATCGACTGACTAAGTCCGCGCACTTCATTCCTGTGTGTATTACCTACTCTTCAGAGCGGTTGGAAGAGATCTATATCCGGGAGATTGTTCGTTTGCATGGTGTCCCAGTTTCCATCATTTCAGATAGAGGCACTCAGTTTACTTCGCAGTTTTGGAGGTTTATGCAGCAAGAGTTGGGTACTCAGGTTGAATTGAGCACAGCTTTTCACCCTCAGACGGACGGGCAGTCCGAGCGTACTATTCAGATATTGGAGGACATGTTGCGTGCTTGTGTCATTGATTTCGAAGGATCATGGGATCAGTTTCTACCGCTTGTAGAGTTTGCTTATAACAACAACTACCAGTGGAGTATTCAGATGGTTCCATATGAGGCTTTGTATGTGAGGCGGTGTAGATCTCCAGTTGGTTGGTTTGAGCCGGGTGAGGCTAGGCTATTGGGGATAGACTTGGTGCAGGATGCTTTAGAAAAGGTGAAGGTAATTCAGGAGAGGCTTCATACAGCGCAGTCGAGGCAAAAGAGTTATGCTGATAGGAAGGTTCGGGATGTGTCCTACATGGTTGGTGAGAAAGTTCTGTTGAAGGTTTCACCCATGAAGGGTGTTATAAGATTTGGGAAGAAAGGTAAATTGATTCCTCGGTTCATTGGACCTTTTGAGGTGCTTCGGAGGATTGGGGAGATGGCTTATGAGCTTGCTTTGCCACCTAGCTTGTCGAGTGTGCATCCGATATTTCATGTTTCTATGCTCCAGAAGTATATTGGGGATCCGTCTCATGTTATGGATTTCAGCACGGTTCAGTTGGATGGTGATTTGACTTATGATGTGGAGCCAGCATCTATTTTTGAGTCGTCAGGTTCGAAAGTTGAGGTCAAAGGATATAGCTTCAGTGAAAGTGCAGTGGAAAAGTCGGCCCATGGAGGAGGCTACCTAGGAGACTGAGCGGGAGATGCGGAGCAGATATCCTCACCTATTTGAGGCTTCAGGTATGTTTCTTGACTCATTCGAGGACGAACGTTTGTTTAAGTTGGGGAGGATATGATGTCCCGGCCAGTCGTCTTATGAGTTACCGCTCCGTTTTCCCCATTTCTACTTATTATTGCTTTGTCTATCGGTTCTATATGTGATTGGGTTGGTTGGCTTGGGTTCGGAAAGGATTTGGTAAGGTTTGAGACACTTAGTCTCTTTTGAGGAAGCTTAAGTTGAAAAAGTCAATCGGATGTTGACTTATGTGTTAGAGGGCTCGGATGTGAGTTTCGATGGTTTGGATAGCTTCGGGAGGTGATTTGGGACTTAGAAGCGTGATCGGAAAGAATTATGGAGGTTCGGAGTAGATTTAGGCTTGAATTGGCGAAATTGGATTTTTTGCATTTTCCGGTTGATAGGTGAGATTTTGATATAGGGGTCAGAATGGAATTCCGAGAGTTGTAATAGTTCTGTTGTGTCATTTAGGATGTGTGTGCAAAATTTCAGGTCATTTGGACGTGGTTTGGTTGGGTTTTTGATCAAAAGCGAAATTAGGAAAATTTTGGAAATTAGGCTTGAATCTGATGTGTTTTGGTTGATTCGATGTTGTTTGAGGTGTTTTGAAGATTGGTATAAATTTGAAGAAGGTTATGGGATATGTTTGTGCTTTTGGATGAGGTCCCAGGGGCCTCGGAATGATTTCGAATGGTTGACGGAGAGTTTGGAATTTTTAGTAAAGCTGCTGATTTTCTGCTTCTGTTGTTTCCGCACCTACGGATTGGGGACCGCAGGTGCGATGTCGTAGATGCGAGGAAGAGGGCTACAGAAGCGGAATAAGGTAAGGGAGGCAAAAACCGCAGAAGCGGTTGGAGAACCGCACCTGTGATGGCGCAGGTGCGGATAGTGAATCGTAGATGCGAAAATGAGGACTTAAGTGAGGACCGCAGATGCGGTGGTCTTGACCGCAGAAGCGGGAATTGAGCCGCAGATGCGAAATCCCTGGGCCAGAACATATAAATTGTTTCCTTCGCGATTTTTGAGCTATTCCACCATTTCTAAGTCGGCTTTGGAGCTTTTTTGGCGATTTTGAAGAAGGAATTCAAGGGGACTTCATTGAGGTAAGGATTTTGGACCTAAAACTCATTCCTATGGTATTATTTCACGGATTAGAACTATAATTAATGGAATTAAGGGCTAAAATTGAGGAAAACTAGGGCTTGGTATTGGAGACCTAGACTTGCGGATTTGAGGGACCATTTGTGGTCGGATTTTGGTATTTTTGATATGTATGAACTCGTGGGGAGATAAAGAATCTATTAATGTAAAATTTATCGAATTTCGAGACGTGGGCCCGGGGTCGGGTTTTGGTAATTTCGGGATTTATGCTATAAATTGATTATTTTTGCTTGGGCTTCGTTCCCTAAGCATATTTTGACGTCGTGATTCTGATTTTTGATAGATTCAATGCGAATGGAGGCCGATTCGAGGGGCAAAGGCGTCACGACCTAGAGTTTGGACCGGATTGAGGTGAGTAATGATTGTAAATATTGTACTGAGGGTATGAAACCCCGGATTGCACATCGTTGTGCTATATTGAGGTGATGCACACGCTAGATGACGAGCGTAGGGTCGTGCACTGTTAGGGATTGTGACTTAGTCCATCCCGAATGATTCTTTTACCGCGTATTTGACTGAAAATTATTTGCTATCATCATGTTTTGGGTTGAATGTCATATTTGGGCTTCGTGCCAACTATTTAAACCCTTAGGGAATTTTTACTGATATTTCCTCACTATTTGACTTTATACTTGAACTCAATCATGTTATATTCTACTATTTTCATAACTCAGCCATGTTTACTCTGCTTTAACACTTAAATAATATTTTAAATGATATTTTGGGCTGAGCATCATGTTTTACTATTGCCCGAATGGCTTGTAAGATTCTGATTGAGTAAGGTCGAGGGCCTATGTTGTGAGGAAACACTGACTATGATTATGAGGCCGAGGGCCTGAGATTGTACGCCACGAGGTGGCTTGTCAATATGAGGCCGAGAGCCTATGTGATTATGCTACGAGATGGCTTGATATTGCGCTTGGGCTGTAAGGGGTCCTTTTAGGAGTTTGCACACTACCAATAAGCGCGGGTACCTATTATGATGTGAGATATGGCCCGAGGGGCTGGTGTTGTTCTATGATATTGTCTGAGGGGCGATCCTTTATGTGGTTATCTTTCCTAGTTTCTTGTTATTTAGCTGCTTAACTGTTAAAAAAGGTATTTCATGAAGTTTAAACTGAACTAAAATGACTTTACATATCTTCACTTATTCACTGTTTTTACTGGCTTTTACTGCTTCATTATATCCTGTAATGTGCCTTACGTGATTTCATATTTCTCAATCTTTATTTATGATTATTACTCACTGAGTTGGAGTACTCACTTTACTCCTTGCACCCCGTGTGCAGATTCAGCCGCTACCGATCCTGCTTGCGAGGGTTGAGAGCTCCCGGCAGATTTCGGAGTTCACGAGGTAGCTGCTCGGCGTCCGCAGCCCCGTGTTTCTTCCCCTTTATCTCATTTCCTTTTTCTTGTTAGTGATTCTGTAATAGCTTTGTAGACACTTCAGACTTGTAGTATATTGATAGATGTTCATGACTGGTGATACCCCGATATCGGGCTGTGTTGGGTTTTATTCCGCAACTGTAATGCTCACTGCTTACTTTGGGATTATTTATTACGTTTTAGACTTAATTCTTATTGTTTAATTGCTTAAAAACTGGAATGTGGAGAGTGTCATCTAACCTTGTCTTCACGAAAGGCATTATCACGACTGGGTCTGGGTTAAGGGTCATGACATTCTTCTTTCTTGTCATTTACTCATTTTTTTTAATTATTATTCCATACCCATTACCAAACCTCCATTATAGATAACATTTATAGCCTTCAAATTGGTTCCAACAAAAATTAAAGAAAACCGCTCATCAATTCATGAATTTATAGCATGTTTGGCCAAAAGTATTTTTTCCAAAATTGAGATGTTTGGCCAAACTTTTGATTCAGGGGCGAAGGTACATCGTCGTTTTAGATTTTTACTTTGGTGTATGATTTTCATGTGGAAAAACAACCTAATATTGCATTGAATTTTATGCTCCGGTATCAAAACACCATATTGTTAATGTTAAATTGATGCTAGTACCCTCACATTTTGAACTAGGAAGAAGTAGGATACACGCGCCACCGTAGCTTCGATAACAATGTCCACGGGCCTTTCATTCTCCTCCTCTTCTTCGCCCTTCTCCTTCCCTTCAGACCCATCTTTTTCCTCCACGCCTGCCACCGCTGTTGCTACCAGTTCTTTCCCATTTTCCTTCTCAAACCCTAACCCTAGTCCCGCCACGTATGCTCCTTTTGGATTTGGCTCTTCTGCTTCTTCAGCCTCTTCCGGTCCTTCCTTTTCTTTCACCGATTTTGGCTCTTCTTCTATCGGTGCTTCTACAACATAGTTTGGCTTTTCTTCTGGTTCCAGTCCCACAGTCGGCTTATTCGTATCTTCTTCCGGTTCAGGTACCACTTCAAACTTATTCGGATCTTTGTCCGGTTCTGGTACCACTATGAACCTGTTCGGATCCACTACATCTGCTAGTAGTTCCCTACCTAAGGGTGGTTAGTTGACCATCCTTCGTCGAAAAATTATATTGTATATATAGGTAAAATATTAGATTTTAATGGTGTATAATGTATATTGAACACCCTTTATCCGGGATTTTCTTTACTTATTTCAAATTTGAATACCCTAAATGAAATTCCTCGCTTCACCACTGGTTTGATCTAATTTTTTTAGTTTCTCGATATAGTATTTTGATTTTCAATTTTGCAAATCAGGTCGTTCCAGTATGTTGGCCTAATTTCTTATATTTTGTGAAACCAAAAATCTAAAAAAGTATTCCAAAGAGCCTTTCTCGATTCAATTTGTACTGAAATTCTTTGAATAAAAAGAGTTACCACAACGTAGCGTTTGATCGGCAGAATAAATAGAAGAAAATATACAGAAAGCACATACATGCGCGAAGAGATCAAGCTGCAACATTGCTGCATTTGAATACTCCTATAAAAGATAGATGATATCTACAAAAAATATTATTTGGATGTCTCCCGCGCTTGAAAATAAAGAAGAATATCTTGGCTTAATGGTTTGAGGAATGCTTTCTAAGGTTTAAGGATAAGGAGTTGACACTAAAATGTACTGGCCGATAAGATAATTTTTGCTCTGTTTGGAGTAAATAAAAGGAAAAAGAAATAGAAAAAGAGGGAAGTGGCATAGGAAGAAATGTTGCATTGGTTAGATTGGTTCAATTTTAAGTTTCTCAGTACAATATTTTGGGTGGCATTGGCTAGTCTGATTCAATTTTTCTAGTTTCTCGGTATAGTAGTGTGATTTTCAATTTTGTAAATCGGATTGTTTCAGTATGTTTTCCCAATTTCTCATATTTTATGATCCGAAATATCTAAAAACGTATTCCAAAGAGCTTTTCTCCATGCAAATTGTATTGAAATTTTTTGAATAAAAGAGATACCACAACAAAGCTTTTGATCGGCAAAATAAATAGAAGAATATATACAAAAAACACAACATGCACGAAGAGATTAAATTATCTTCACAATTACATAAATCATAAATAGAAATAGAAATACTTTATTCAAATCATAAAAAACTCAACTCTTAAGAAAATTACTTCAATATCTTGTTGGGTATTTGAAATTATTTATCTTCAACACTTAAAAGACTAACAAAACCAAAAAACCTTTGAATTTTACCTCGTGGTGGTCTATTTGGTCGACATCAAAAGTATATAGCGCATAAGTAGATAATTCTCCCTGCAAATCTATTAAATTACTTCTTGAAAAATTGAAGAAGTACATTTTTTTCTTTAAAAAGTTTATATTTGGATTTTTTCTTTAAAAAGTTTATATTTGGATTCTACTTTAGAACCTTAAAATTTCATGATTCATCACCTGTAATTTCTCGATGGAATACGAGGGAATGCGAATAAACTAGGAACTTTTAAGATAGGCTCATTTATTTATTGGTGGGTAGATGGGTATTTGGGCCACAGGTTAAATAGATTTTATAATTAAAAATAGATTTTTATATGACATGGTATATTAAATATGTGGTTTTAATTTTTTGCGTCAAAAGGTAATTGGTGGGTGATTTTGTTGTCCTAAATAAAACAATAGTGACTTTGACAGGATATTCCTACAACTTAGATGACCACCTAAAAAATTTACTCTAACCTAGCATGTTAAAAAGTTAAGTTATCATAAATTGATCTACTTACTTGTTGACTCTGATACCCGCAAGTTATTTTCTTTTATATTATTCTTATTTTTCAGAATCATTTAGCATTGAAAGAGTATTAGAAAAATTTGAATAAAATCATAAATAACTATACATGACCTATAAGCTGAAATAAACAAAAAGTTAAGAAACTAAATACAAAAGTTAATAACTTTGAGCGAGGTTTACTGACGAATAGATTTTTAAAAGAGACTAAGTATTGTAAAATTTTCACGTGGATGTTTATATAAATTCTAATAGTTAAAGGGCAAGCTAATTACGAGTGTCTAACAATGTCAAAAACTATGGATATGTGTTGAGCTTCTTTAGTCAAATGTTATATAGGTGGCAAATTTTTTTGGCTAAGTGTCTTACAAGTAACTATATTTAGCATGACCTTTTACGGACCTCTCATTACCTTCCTATACACTTGTCCAAAGTGAATTTAATACCACCATGTGAAGCATAATACCACTTTCATGGTGTGAAGTGCTTCATACACGCGTGTCACGTCAGCGCCATGTCAGCATCATGTCATAAATATAATATATTTATGTTTTTTTACTATTTTTTTCATCTTTCTTGTCATTTACATATTTTTTAAATTTTTTATTCCATACCCATTACCAAACCTCCATTATATATAACCTTTATAGCCTTCTGTGATGACCCAAAAGGTCATACTTGTTTTAGAAATAAATTCTGTGTTTCAAGGCCTTAAAAACCTCTTTCAGTATTACCTCGATTTGTGTGCGCAGTCCGGGCCCGTAGTCGCAAAGCCAATATGTGAAAATCTGTGGAAAATGATGAATTTTGATTTTAAAATGAATTAATTTGACTTCGGTCAATATTTTGGGTAAACGGACCCGGACCCGTGATTTGATGGTTTTCAGGTCCGTAGGAAAATATGGTACTTGAGCGTATGCCCGGAATCGAATTCCGAGGTCCCAAGCCCGAGAATGAATTTTTAAAGAAAATTATTTTCTGGAATTATTTATGAGTTTTGGAAATGAAATGTGTTTAAAACTTGATGGTATCGGGCCCGTATTTTGGTTTCGGCGCCCGGTACAAGTCTTATATATAATTTAAGATAAGTCTGTGAATTTTGGAAAGAAACGGACTTGATATGACGTGAATCAGATCGTTTTTGAGAAAATTGGAAAATTTGAAGTTCTTAAGAAATTTCATGATTTTGATGCTAAATTCATAGTTGTTGATGTTATTTTAGTGATCTTAATGCACGAGCGAGTCCATATGATGTTCTTGAATTGGTGTGCATGTTTGGTTTGGAGCTCCGAGGGCTCGGGTGAGTTTTGGACTTGGAGAATTGCAGGTTTTCAGCTGGTGTGAACAGGCCTGCAGGCTTCGCAAATGCGAGTTCGCAAATCCAAAGGCTGAGTCGGAAATGCGAAATAGCCCAGGCATGCCCTTCCTCGCAAATGTGAGATGTTCCTTTGCAAATGCGAAACTCTCCAATCTGGGCCTGTTATCGCAAATGCGATAGTGTGTTCACAATTCCAACCTCGCAAATGCGAGGGTTCCTTCAAAAATGCGAACTTAGCAGAAATTTGGGTTCGCAATTGCAAACCCTGGTCGCAATTGCGACATCTGCAATGTGCAATTTTATAACTTAGCCGAAAATCTCTCATTTTTCGCACTCTTTCAAAACCAAAACACTCTTGGGCAATTTTTTAAAGACAACTCTTCTTCCAAATCGATTGTTGTAAGCACGTGATTTTTGCCCTATATGAGAATTACTCCCAAAAAATTCAAAAATAAAATAATTTTTCTTGGTGTGCAATTTTTGTGATATTTTTGTGATATTAGTGTAACTATTTGTATGTTTGTCTGTGCATGTTTATTTGTTAAATTATCAAAAATACAAAAATATGTCGCATTATGCATATAGGATTTAATTATACAATTGTTAGTAATTAAATTTGTTTTGCAAAGATGAAAAATTACAAAAATAGGCATCGTTTGCATTTTTAGCATTTAATGTCCAAATATACAATTTTATGCTTAATTATTACTTAATTGTGTGTTAATTGTTATTGGGAGTTAATTTGCGCTTTTATAACTTAATTTAGTTCTTAATAATAGCTTAAGTNCCCCCCCCTTTTCCTATCTTCTTCTTCTTCCTCAAGCTTCCTCAAGCACACAACCGTGGCTGCCCTCGACCCCACTCCCTCACGTCCAAATGCCATTAACAAACAGCTTCGTCCCAACGACCCTGGCTACCCCTTCTTCACCATTATTAAACAACAACAAATCCGACCACAACACAAACACACACACACACACCCAGCTGCGTCTTCATCGAGTTTCATCGAGTCTTCATCTTCTTCATCGAGTTTGAGTTCGACGAACTGCAGCTGCTGCTTCATCGTCTACATGAACCCACTCGATACAGTGGAACTGCAAAGCAGCAGCAAATATGGTTCAAAGTGGTGTTGAAGGTCGCAAGCTCGATATCCATGGACGCTGCTGCATTTTCTTCACCTGCTGCCCGCGACCACTTCTGCCTCATCACCATGGCTGCACGCTTCTGTTTCACGATGCTTCTTCTTCCCGCAGACGACGCCATGGCAGCTGTCACTGCTGCTCCATCGATGCCGCTACTGATGCCGCTGTGCTGCAATGCTACAGCTCGCCATGGCCAGCTGCTTCTGCTTTATTCTTCGTCATCCTAACAAACCCCATTGCAGCTGCTTCAATCCAATCCGAAAACGAGATTCAAACCATCTCGTTTGTTCGAGTTTCGGATGGGGTTGTAAAAGCAGTCCATACAAGTTCATCGTCGATCGATCGTTGTTGTCGTTTCATGTCCGGTTAGTTGTTTTTGAGTTTTGTTTTTTGTCCATNGTAGGGGAAAGAGATTGATTTTAATTGATTAAAGGGTTGGGATTATATATAGGAAGTCTTGAACACAAAACAAAGAGGACACACAGAAAAGAAGAGAAGACACAGATAAGAAGAACGAATCTGAAGTAAGAGAAAAAAAAAAGAGACAGAACAGAAAAACACAAGGGGGGAGAAAAAAGAGCTGAATATTTAAGAAAGAAAAATTCCGAAAAATATTTAAGCTTTCAAATAAAAAAAGAAACTAAAAAAAATCTTCTGCTTTCTTTCTTTGTTTGAAATCAGTATTAATTGTTGTTGTTTCATTCAAAGCTGGAAGCTTTTGTTTTTGGGATTACTGCTCTACTGGTTTGCAAACTCTTTTCCTGGGTTGTTACTGTTGCTGGGCTGTTGTTGCTGTGCTGTACTGTTATTACTGCTGCTGATTCTCATCTTCATTTTCTTTTGCTTCCAATATCATGTACATATTTGTAAACTCATGTCATGAAAAGCTTCAACATGGCAAGTAATTGAAGTTTGGAATTANAAATCATACACGACTGGAGTATAATAAATAAGGAAAGATTTAAAAATAGTACCATTATAGAACAGGTAATTAAGGCTAGGTTCAGAGAGTTTTCAAACTAAGGAAACAATCAGTAACAATTAAGTAGCAATGCAGACAAGGCAAGGGAGAATTAGTTAAGTCAAGCAACTAATCAAATTAAGTAGAAAGGTAGGAGTCGGGAGGGGGGGTCCAAAGGAAAATGTTCAAATGACGCCTAGTAATAAGGAATTCAGAATCAATCAAAGAGAAAGTCATGCAAAAGAGTCAGCATGTTTAACATACAAATAGAGCAAGACATGGGTAGTCAAGAATTGGCACANTTGTTATAGCTGATGGGATAGTTTGGTAATTTGCAGTACGTTCAGGGGTAGTTTGGTAATTTCAGTAAGGTCGGAGGAGTAGTTTAGANGTTGGAAGACATGCCGCTGACGATGCTGCTATCATTCCCGGTTATTAGGTCCCTGTGCTTATAGCCTTCTATCCGAAGTATGGACTATTCATAACTTTCTGCATTTTGAGTATCTCGTACGTTGTTTACTTTTACCTTACTTACTTAAAATCTCGTGTCATATATTCTATGTCTTTCATAACCTCCCTTCCACCTAGGTGTAATTTACGCCCATAACTTGAAGCTCTATTATAATACTCGCACCTCTGGTACATACACAATCCTATGGGAGCTTCATACTGACTTCTTATGAGGCTGGTACTTCTTCTAACTGGCTTCTTTGTAGAGCCATTATAGATTATGGTTGTTTGTGTCATTTCTCCTGAACATCTGATATTAAGAGTGATTCTGTCATGTTCTCAAGCACAACTTCTATAAATTTTCTAGGTGCAATATTCAGACTCCCGATTTACTTGGGTGATGTAATCCGTTAGTTTCCTCTTCTTTTTGATTAGCCTTCACGTAGGCTTAAGCTATCTTCTGATCTATGGCTCATGGTATCAGTTGTTACCTTATCCTTTCATGGGCATTATGGAATATCCATGATACAATCTTCTAACAATTCAATCCTTTGTCTACGCCCTGGGATTAATTCTTTCTTTTAACTTATACCGGAGCCTTCTATGGATGTGTGATTGTCAACAAATATGCTGCCTGGATAATGCTCCCAAATCTTGAGCGTATCCATAGCGTACTAACTCTGGATCATTGATCGAATAATTCCTTTCGTTCCATCTCATCTTTCTTTAAACATGTGCAATTACTTTTCCTAGTCTTTCTGCCCTTTGTTGCATGCATACTTAACTCATCTTAGTTCCCATACATGCCAGAATTTTTGTGCAACTCATATAGTCTCGAATATTACCTTCGATCTTTCTTCCCGTTCATTAGCCATGGTAGGTGCCACTTTCTTTTGGATTGCTTACACTGTTGTTATGAGACTATTGTTACACGGCCATTTCCTCTTTAGGTCATTGTGCTTAAGTTGAAGCCTTCTTCCTTATTTCTCAGCTAGTCTTTTGTTGTAGTACCTAGGGAGAACCCTTGATCCTTGTAAAGTTGTGAGCTTATTACAAACATTTTGATGTTCTTCCATGCCTGTAATTATCCGTAGTTGCTTACCTTTGTGACCTTGTGCTTGTAGGGTTGCTTCTGAGCTAACATTTTGATTGCCTTCCCAGTGGCACTTTCTTTTATCCCCGTAACACTCATACGGTACCTTTAACTACCCCAACTCTTATTTGAATATACCCCAAGTATTATAATGACATTACTAAGAGGCTGAGTTCTCCATGTTATGTTCTACTATGTTTATCTTACATGATCTGATGACTCGTCTGTAATCTCCTGTTTAGTCATAACTAGGATCTTCCTGACCAATTAGTAACTACTCGTTGGCCCATTCTCATATCAATATTCCTCGTAATCTTTCTTGGGTTATTTCCTTTGTCTTAACTTACATCTCGCACTGACTCCTTGTTTATAAATAACAGCTCAGGCAGGAACCTTTACTTCCACTCCTTGACGTCGTGCTTGCACAATATTCTTGAATCATAACGTATCTATAAGATTTGGATAAGTGACATCTTATTCCTCTTTCATTTATCGCATTCTTCATTTACCATTCCATAGTCACTAGAACCACTTAATTCTGATTTAATGCCACATTACCCCATATTACCCCCTTTAGGGGTGTACTAAGAGTTGAATCCATGAGGGTATACCTATAGATGTGTTACCTCTTTATCTTTGGCGTCCTTTCACATCATAAATGATGAATTCAATGATAGATTTATGTACTCTAGCCAAATCTGAGTTAGAATCACTTACCCCGATGAATTTCTTGAAAAACCTTCGAACAATTGCCAAAATCCGAGTTCTCTAGGTCAAAATATCAAATAAAATCCAAAACCTCGTATTTATAGAGTACCCCATAGATTTCCACCTCCGCGGACCGCACAAAATCGACCGCGATCTGTACAAAACCAGTGCGGTCCGCACAAAAACGACCGCGGCCGCACAGACTTTCCTCTACAGTGACAGGCTTTAGTATTTTGGCCATCATTTTCGCAACTGATATCAAAATTGTTATATCTTTACTTTTCTTGAAACTAGACACGTAGGGCTACAACTTTTGTTTTTGAATCATCTATAAATTGTAACATTTTAAGTCAAAAATGTGTAAATAGCGTTTGCTCCAAATATAACAATGAAAATTCTTCGAAAAATATTACTTCGTTTATTAAATCAATTATTTTCCTAAGTTTTATACGCAATTCGCTTTTTGGGTAAATAAATATTGTATTTACGATAAAAATGGTAGTATTAATCACACGTTGTTGTTTTTTTACTCTTTAAATTCAAATGGTTTTTGAGGAATATAATTCACACGCAAAAAATATAATTTGCGGTCAACACTTAATGAATTGTGAATTCTTTTCAAGGAATTTAGAGGCATCTCAAATAGTGATTTCTCATGACTTTCACATAAAAATGTATGGATGTAATAAACAATTTGTGGAAAATTTATACTACCATCAAGAATATCTTGTGTGATTAGGGATACGTTCGCGTGACCTGATTATATTTCTAAAGGCAATTCGGATTATGCGTTCGCGCAACTTCGAGCAAACATTTAATAAAAAGGGGGTTCTTCGTAGAATATCAAAATAATTTCATATAACCCGAGATGTGCAGTTCACTATTTAATCATACAAGAGCGACGGACGTTCTTAATTTTATTTTAAGCACAATTTCGAACTTAAGTCTATTTTTATAATAAAAATAAACAAAAAATAATATTATCAATCTTATTGTGTACACGCATGCGTGACACGATTCTTTACGTTTATAAAAATATATAATACGAATATACGTACGCGTGATTCGTTTCAAGAAAATCTTTAATTGAAAACAATCTAAACAGAAGCGGTAACAAAATCATGCAAAATAAAAATGTATTTAGCAAATCGAGATAATTAAGCCAAGTATAATAACGGTTAAGCGACCGTGCTAGAACCACGGAATTCGGGAATGCCTAACACCTTCTCCCGAATTAACAGAATTCCTTACTCGGATTTCTGGTTCGCAGAATGACAAACAGAGTCATATTCTCCTCGATTCGGGATTAAAACCGGTGACTTGGGACACCCTAAATCTCCCAAGTGGCGACTCTGAAATAAATAAACAAATCCCGTTTCGACTGTCCTTTAATTGGAGAAAACTCCCTTGCGCCCCCGCGGGGGCGGAAGAAGGAGGTGTGACAGCTCTGGCGACTCTGCCGGGGGTTAGTAAAAACCCAGAACCACTGGTTCAGGGTTCAAGAATTCAAGCTTAAAATAACTGCTATAGTTGGCTTTATTTATTATTTGATTTTTACATGATATATGCTTAATGTGCTGAATGATGCTTTTACCGCTTTAATATTATTTG